TGATCATTAGAGTCAGGTTGTGTGGATGTGGGAGGGAGATAACAAGGGTGGGGGAGGGAAGGGGGAAGGGGGGGGAGGGGGGGGGGGGGGGGGGGGGGGGGGGGGGGGGGGGTTGAGAGGCTTATTTGCATTGGGGTGCTTATTACCTTACAGTTAAAATGTAATAAACATTGACTTCCTTTCAAACAAACACATCTGTAAACAGAGCACAAAAACATATCTCTAAGAAAAAAAAACTAAATATGGTCTTACTGATGGCATTTAAGGTCCTAAAAGTTCTGGTTTTGAAATGCTCTTTCTCTCCTTCTTTGTACTGGATATTCAGTCACATTTGTTTTCTTGGAGAATGGTTGCTTGGTAAGAAACTCTTGACAACAAGATCCAAAGCAGATTATACATGTAAGTTAAATCAGAGATTGAAGAAAGATTATAAACATCAGAATACACAGTTCAAATTTTACAATCTTATTTTCAATATACGATGTGGCGCAGTCTACCCCATGAGCATCAGTGTATGATATTTGCTTACTGCAGACCGCAGACTGCAGACGGCTGTGTGTAAAAGTGGGACGGGGACAAGGGCACGGGGACATCAGAACGCGTGTGTGGGGACTTGGGACTTGGGGACGCGATACGAGAAACTTGAGGACATCAAGTATGAGACGCGGGGACGTGTGGGACGGGGACACAGGGACGTCAAAAACAGGGACGCAGGGGACGCGGGATGTGAACGATTATCGCAAAAGTCGGAGCTAAATGCAATGTCTCTTTCTTCGAGAAAATGTGTTGTTTATGTGTTACCGTAAAATTCCGAAAATAAGCCCCGGGGCTTATATTTTTCAAAGGCCCTTTTTGAGGGGCTTATTTTTGGAGGGGCGTATATTCGGAGGGGCTTATCTACGGAAGGAAATTTGCGTTTCGAAATAGATTGGGCTAGCCTTATAAATGGAAGGAAATTTACCGTTTTTCAAGCCTTTGTTTTACTTTGTATTTGAGGGCAATTTTCAAGTACAAGCCCCCCGCGGGGCTTATTAAAAACGAAAACCAAATAAAAAAAAAAAAAATGTTAAAAAAGAATAAAAAAAAAAGAAGAAAATAATTTTAGAAAGAAGAAAAAAAAAGATAGGTAACTTTAAAAAACTTGTTTTTTTTTTTGGGGAGGGGGGGGGGGTGGTTTGTGGGGGTTTTTTCGTTTGAGGTATATAACCCCCTTTGGGTGGGAAACGGGGTAAAACGTTTTTTGAAAAATTTAGAAAAAATAAGAAAAAACGCCCCCCCCCACCAAAAAAAAAAAAGGAAAGAAAAAGGAAGGGACAACTTTCCTATGGGTTTGATTAAAA